ATAAAAATCAAAATAGAGGTATTGGGCGAGGACCCATACTCACCCTGGTACTATTTTGACCCCAACCGATTCCCATATGAATTTGTAGTCTAGATCGGAAATCAAAGGGTTTTCTAAACACTTGTCAAAATGAAAGCATAAGAAGCTTCATTGGTGTATGGTGCATGTGGTACGCCAATTTGAGATCCACTGTGTGTTCTTTAAGACAGTTGATGGGAAATAAAGTGATTAATTAATGGTCTAGTGGGCGTCATGTGGATCAATGTCCCTTGTGTGCGGTTGGGAACGGACGGTGGATATCAGCATGGTGTAGCAAAAACTATACACCATTTGGCGTACATATTTTCACTATGGAAAGGGCCTAGTTGAACTTGTTTGCGACTTTGAGGATTATGGTACTGATTAAGAATTATAAATTGAAATTAGCATTATTGACTGAGTAAAGAGGGAGAAATGACTTTGCTTTTTTTCTTTTTTTTAACCATTTTCAAATTCAAGTTTGATCTTAAAAAAATGGAGTGCATTGGACCTCTAGTGAAGGTTAGCGATCCCTATTGTTAGTGGTTTTTTTGGGATTGAGGTGAACAAACCGGGCTACTTGGCTCATTGTTACCCTTACTAATTCATTTATTTTGCAAAGTAATAACTAATAAATGATAACACGGAATGTGGTCTGAAAATATATGGATACTTATGATCTCACTGAGATACGGTCTTAAATAGAGCGGAATGACAGACCGGGATTCATGTAACCGACCTCAATTAATTGGAAAAAAACTATGACGATGATGATGAAATGATAATTCATACAACTAATACCAATTAATTGAAAAAAGACTATGACGACGATGAAATAATAATACAGAATGCCCTTGTTATATGATCATGCCACGACCTTTATTTCTATTCACGTATTTGCCAAAAATGTAAGGGATTATTGACGATAATGACTTGATTTGCGAATCTTGAAATTTCTTTTTATTAGGTGGGTCCTTGCCAAATTTATCTTTAGGAATCTACAAAAACTAAATGCCTCTTGCTTTTCCCTTCAGTTCATGTCTACCAATTTCAAGTCTAGAAGTGTGAAAAAATTTAAGCTTCTAACCACGCACATATTTTGCTCCAAATTTAAAATAAATTTTCTTTTTTTATATTTACATAAACTTGTATTAAATACGTAGAAGCAAAGCTCCATATTTATTTATTTATTTTTAGCAATAAGCAAAGCTCCATAGTTACAATAGATAAAAGAGGAAGAAATAGAGAGATGCTTATACTTCGAAAGATGACCACTTTAAACTACCCAAACACAAACATCTCACATCCACAAGGGTCCCAATATTGGCAATTTGAAATATCTGAAAATCTGTACCCATCCACAATTTGTATTTTCTCTCTCTCTCTCTCTCTCTTTCTCTCGCGGCATCATCATCATCACTAGAGCTTTTTTTCAATTTTTTGGAGTCGGCTTCTCTCTCACAACATAAACATGCTTATCAACTCAACTTCATAAATAAGGATGAGGTTTACCTAAGATGTGAACCTCAAACAATCAAAGACACACCTTCAAACTTGTTGGAAAATGTAGTTTTGGTGCAGGAAACCCTAAAGATAGTATAGAATTTTATATTCTACTTCTAATTATGAAATTTAAAGCTCTAAAAATGGTGCAGATCAAACATATCTAAAAAATACTAGAAAATTTTAAAGATGGAGGGTCGAGTTATTGTGTACTATATTTAGATCTTGAATATTTATTTATTTCTATACATGTTGAGGTCGAGATGATCAATTTTTGGTATTTCCAATATCAAGAAAACCTTTTCCAAGGGCTTTTTTAAGTGCACCTTCTTTTTGTACTATAATTTTGATGTGTTATATAAGGCTTTTTTCGATTTGAAACTTCGCTTTCCCCATAAAAATTACCAAATGATTATTTTCCAATAAAAGAATTTGAATTTGAGTCCTTCCAATACTGTAGTACTTCCTTGTTTGATAACAGTACATTAAAGTGGATACCACGGTATCTACTTGCCATACATTTAAGGATAAAAGGCAGAAATTGTCAGCTCCATGGGGACCATAAAACTTGGAGTATCCACAACCATAGTTTCCAAAGCCGCGTCTTCCATATATCAAACATGCCCGAATCTTTTATTTATTTTTTAATGGTCTCCACTCAATCTTAGAATGTTATTAGAAAGTTGGATTTGAATTTTTTCAAAGTAGCGCCGTCAGTAACTTGAATTTCTTTTTTTCTATAGAATCTGACCCGGCTCCGGGCCAGAGCCTCCTCTGCCCTAACAAGGCCATGTCAGGCTTGGACCAAGACTTCTTCGGCCTAGTTAGGGCCAGACCAAGTTTGGGTCCGTACTGGCTTGTTCTAGAGGGAGGAAGGCCATGTTATGTTAGGGTGGGCTGGCTGAGGCTAGTACCTTTGCCTGCCCCTCCTAATATGAGTAAATAGACACTACGGGTAGGCACCAACCACTGGGCTCATGTAAAATGGGATATGATCAACATCCAAAAATAAGAAAAAAAATGTGAGTGGTCCCTAGGTGCTGACGTCATGGAGATTGTGAAGAGGGAAAAAAAGTCGAGGTAAAATGAGGGGAATTGGAGGACCCCCTGGTTCCCTCGGTGGCCACCTCAAAGGAGGCAGCGGCGCATTGAAAGAGATTTCACCTCCGAACACTACCCCACCCACATTCACATGTGTAACCATTGCCTCATGTGACTACCAGCTTTCCACCTACCTACTCGCCCCAAGTCATTCCCCAAGGTTGCTTTTTTTATTTTTTAAATTTAGTTTTATCTATTTATTATTATTATTTTTTGACTTTTGAGGGGAGAGAGAGTAAGGGCGGTAATAGGCCGGTTGGTCCGGTCCGGCTCTTAAAAGCTAGGGCCTAGGCTACGAAATTAAATCTTGAATTATAAAATGTGGATAGGCCTACGCCGTTCGGCCTGGCCTTGCCTGACATTATTATTTTGCTTTGTGTTTTCTTCAATTTGGCCCGGCCTGGTCATGAGGGCCAATATTTAGGGGAATAAGACCAGGCTAGGACCAGGGCTGGCCCGGCTAGTTGCCAACTCCAGAGAGATATGGATCTATCGAACTCGTGGGCCATTTTTCTAAAATGAACATGCTGATACCTTCATTTGAATTTGATAGAAAGATCCCATCTCAAGCATTATTGACTTTCTCAAACTACTGACCCTCATGAGGGCCAATATTTAGGGGAATAAGACCAGGCTAGGACCAGGGCTGGCCCGGCTAGTTGCCAACTCCAGAGAGATATGGATCTATCGAACTCGTGGGCCATTTTTCTAAAATGAACATGCTGATACCTTCATTTGAATTTCATACCATCTCAAGCATTATTGACTTTCTCAAACTACTGACCCCTCTTTTTGTGGAGGGAGGTTCAAATATCATCTAACCCGTTACACAGAGGGAGAGAGGGGTCCCCCTTATCATTGAACTCATCAATACTAAAAAGTAAAAAGGCAAAAGTCGAGATAAACCCAAACCCCAATAAGGGCCCCAACAACCGGAAACCTAGTGATTTTTGTATACAAGAGTCCCAGTTAATGGGGGATTTTTATTAACTTATATATATATATATATATATATATATATATATATATATATAATAATATTCTTTAGTTATTTAATTTATTTTATTCTATAATACGTATAT